ACCTTGTTGCGCTTATTGGTCTCGTGCCAGCCGCTGAAAGCCCTCAGGGTTTAGGCTTTCGCGATTTCTCCGCCTCGAGTCGGCGGACTGAGCCGGAGGCTCTTAGGTCCGGCCTGGCCGTGGTGGTCCAGTGCGGATGCACGCCTAGCTAAGCTATGCTTACAGGGGTGTGGCCTGGTCCGCCGACCCTTTTTCTTGAAGGCCCTGGACGCGTGTTTTTGGGGGTCTAAAATTAAGGTGAGTTTTGGCTGCGTTTTTGAGGCTTCCCCCCACGCTACGGAAGGTTCTGGGCATGTTTTTTTCCTTCGTTTTTCACTTTTGGCCGCCTCAACATAGTTAGGGTTTTGGAAGGGTCTAGAAGCCTCATATGTGTGGTGTCAAGACGAGGGAAATTGGGGGCCCAAACAGGCCCCATAATGCTCATGATGCTGGCTCTTGGGGGGCTGCAGGGCGCTTAAAATGCGCTATGAGCCCCAACAAAATGCTCCAAATACACGCTGTGGGCAGTGTTTGTGGCTGTAAATACCAGTGAGATGCAATTGTGGGCTATAGCATGGTCAGCCTGCTCAGAGAAACATGTCCAAAGTCATCTTTGATGGTTCTCCTTGGGTTTTTGACCCCTCCTGGTCCCAATCAAGCCAAAATGGGGTGGGTCCCAATGGCGCAGCTGATGTTCCTGTACGAGGCGCGCGCGCCGGCGCGCCTCGTACAGGAACATCATCAGCACAATTGGGACCCCACTTTTGGCCGCGTTCAGTTAAACCAGAGAGAACAAGGTCTTCAAAACCTAAAAAACATCCCAGGTAACAAGACCTGGGTGGGCAAGGAACGGCGGCCAGGCCGGCCAGTGCCGCAGGCCCTAAATATAAACCCCATATTATGATCCCTATAACCCCTGTAGTTTCCATTTTATTTTCCATTATCCCAATATAACCCACCCATGTGAAAATATGCCTGTTGTGTAAAGGGCCGTGCTCTAGTTCTGGCTGTGCATATCCACCCGCACATCCTCTCAGCGGTCCCAGTTGGTTTGAAAGGCCGTACTACTATAGTATATCAAGTATTCTCTTGTGTATTATATAGTATACTATAGTACATTATAGTATACTGTAGTATACTATATATATAATAGACTACTATAGTTTCTTATAATATGTTGTAGTATATTCTAGTATATTATAATATATTATAGGATGCCTCCTACGAAAGCTGAGGCCGACGCCATGTAAAATGAGATCTGCTTGGCCGTTCTTACCAATCTGTAAGGCTTCCTCGAGACAAGAGTCCGCCTACACTATGGAAAGCTCCGGCATGAACCTCTCCTCCAAGGTCTCCAATGAATCTGTCCCCCGTACCTGGCATCGTTGACTTGATGCGGGTACAAAGAGAACCTTCCGGCTCACACCTTGTCTTTCTCATTGTATCCCACCTGAGAGATGAGCCGGATGAGGCAAGTACGTTTGCAATGGCGGGAGACGAGGGCTTCAGCCAGGCGCCAAGTGCCGCCTGGCTGCATGAGTGTCTGTGAGGATGAGGATGCGCAGTGTGTCAGCATCAGGGAGCTCATCCTGCCAAGGTGGTAAGCTGCAAATGGCTCATTGCCCAGCTTACAGGTCTTACAGCAGACCACAGCTGCAAGTTCTCTGCTGCACAAGCCTTCCTACAGGCACTGCAAGCCCAAGCTTCTCAAACTCTACTGAAAGTTGAACCAGGTCACCGCCATGTAGAGCGACACAGGGAGCTCACCACCCAGCTGCCATCAGCAAATAAACTGCCTAACACAACCCTGGGCCCTGGGCTGAAGCTATGCTGCTGCCAACCGGTTGTTGTTAAACCTCTGCAAGGGGCGTCTGTACGATCAAGTCTGGGAAGGATACCCCTGCTAGCTTTGCACAACATCTTGTCTTGTGACCTTGTGGCCCAATGGTAAACAAGTCCAAAAAATCTTGCTGAAGAATCCTCTGAAACGGCAGTTGTCTTGTCCTCCGCTTGCTTGGTGTGAACCACGAGCACAATCGCAATGAAATGCTCTCATTTGCCCCTTCGAGAAGGAAAGAATGCACGACTCCTTTCCTGAATCCACGGAAGGAGAATTGTGACGTCAGCCTGTGTTGTCAACGTTCCATGTTCACTTCCTGAAACTACCGCATCCCAAAATGCAACGTACCCTACTCTTCAGATAGGAATTGGTGTCCATGCCTTTGTTGTCCTTCTAAACATACTCTGATGCTGTGCTGGGAATCTCCCTGGAACAACAAGAGAGAACTTTTTGTCTTTCAGCATCACTGCGACTCTGCCTGAAGAATCAGGCTTTCTGAAGCTATTTCGCTCAAGAAGTCGTGACGCATGTTTAAGCAAAGCTGCAGGGCGTAGAAGCGAGAGTAAGCAATGCTTGTTCGTTGACTGAGACGAAAATCAATTGAGCTCTGCAGCTTCCACGCCCAGCATTTTGCAGGAACTCCTTTTAAAGGAGCTTCCAAGAGAGGCATCAGTCTGAGATAAACAAGATCACATCTTGGTAACTCCTTTCAGCTTCACTGCCTGCAGGCAGTTGAACGCAGCCTCTCTTAACAAGTCCTACCTAAAAACATGGAGCTTCCCCACACGCTTTGCAGGGTCCTGGCTCCAACAAACCTAGCTGCAGCAGCAAGGGCTGCCGTGGGAAGATACGCTCTTGAACTACTTCTGTTGACATGTCACGTACGTTACCGGACTCGATCTCTTCTACGTAAGGAAAGCGTAGATCCAGGATCTCTGCTTCCGTACAAGTCTGAATCTAATCAACTTTAACTTGATTTACATTCAATTTCACCTAAACTGCCTCAGACTTCTTCTCGAAGCAAAGGCAGCGAATTTAAGACCCATGACGTTCCACATCTTCTGTGTAGTCTGGGTTCATCTCGAACAGGTGGGACCCATTCTTTAGGCTCAAGGCAGAGAACGCCTTGGCAGGGGGCCCAGACACATCCATTGGGTGAGGGTTGTACAGGGGTTGAGGGGGCATGATGGAAAATGAAATGCAGACTACCTTAGTCACCAGGGATTGATTCTACTGGGAGCAGAACCCCCAAGAATCCCAAGCATCGTGTCCAGGAAAACACAGCCCAGTTGCGAGAGTGTCTGGTGGATGTCCTGGAGTTCTGAAAGCCTCAACGAAAGCATTTAGGGTTTAGGGCATGTCCGGCAGGGTGCTTTGCTAAAGCCAAGGGACACGGGCTTCAGATCCGTAGAAACATCCTTTCTCAACTGCTCATTCGCTGCCAGCAGCTTCTGGATCTCTTCTGTAAGGCATGATACCTGCAGAGAAGCCTCAGGACAAAAAGGCGAACTGAGATTAAACCCCTGATCTACAGAATCTACAGAAGACTGGTTATCAAGGGAATATATAGGGGTTGTATGCGGATTATACAAGGGTTATATAGGGATTAGATAGGGATTATATGGGGATTATATAGGGGTTATATAGTATGACCCCTAGGCAATCCCCATATAATCCCTATATAACCTTTGTATATTCCCCGTTATATAGCCATAGTCTAAACTCCTGGTAGCCCCTTAACCCCTATTACAACGCTCCCCTGTACAATCCCTTATAATTATGACCCCCTTTGGGGACTTTAGACCCTAAACCCTAAATCCTAAACCCTATGTAAGGAGTTTAGACTACGACTCAAAAAACCCTTATATAACCCTATATACGGCTGTTTGCATTTCATTTTCCAAGTTCTTTTCCTCAAAACCCTAAACCTAAATCCTAAACCCTACACCTAAATCCTAAACCCTAAACCCTAAATCCTCAACCCTAAATCCCAAAACCTAAACCCTAAATCCTAAACCCTGAACCCTACATAAGGAGTTTAGGCTATGGCTCCTATAGCATCCCTTGCTGAAAAGCGGCCCAACGGTCTTGGAGGGCTCCGAGGTGTCGGAGAACCTCCGCGTTGGCGGCCGCCGCATGGATAGCCCCGACGGATCTGAAGTAGCGGTTTAGGGTTTAGGGTTATCTAGTTTAGGGCGTAGGGTTATATAGAATAGTTTACGGTTTATGGTTTAGGGTTATATAGAATAGTTTAGGGTTTAGGGTGATATAGTTTAGGGTTTAGGGTGATATAGAATAGTTTAGGGTTTAGGGTTTAGGGTTATATAGTTTAGGGTTTAGGGTTATATAGAATAGTTTAGGTTTTAGGGTTTAGGGTTATATAGTTTAGGGTTTAGGGTTTAGGGCTATATAGTTTAGGGTGTAAGGTTTAGGGTTAGAAAGTTTAGGTTTTAGGGTTTAGGGTTATAAAGTTTAGGTTTTAGGGTTTAGGGTTATAAAGTTTAGGTGTCAGGGTTTAGGGTTGTAAAGTTTTGGTTTCAGGGTTTTAGGGTTATATGGTTTAGGGTTTAGGGTTATACAGTTTAGGGTTTAAGGTTTAGGGTTATATAGTTTAGTGTTTAAGGTTTAGGGTTATATAGTTTAGGGTTTAAGGTTTAGGGTTATGCAGTTTAGGGCTTAAGGTTTTTTGGTTTAGGGTTTAGGTTTATGTAATTTAGGGTTTAGGGCTTAGGGGTTACAATGTTTAGGGGGCTATATAGGGTTATGTAGGGCTTATAGAGGGCCATACGGGGGCTATATAGGGGTGATGGAAAAGAAAATGGAAGCTACTGTTTGGGGTTTAGGTTTTCCCAAAATTGGGTGTACCTTTTTGGGGGGTCCCTATAGTGAGGACTATGGTATATTGGGGTCTATTTTGGGGTGAACCTATTTTGGGAACCACCAGCAAGGATTCAGAATGCAGATTCACATTGCTGAAGCTTGTTTCCATGCTTTTTCCAAAAAGCTGACAGTCAGGGCTGCAAGGACGGTGAGAATCCCAAACAGAAACAGATACACACATATAGCTTCCATTTAGCTGTCCATCTTCTTTTTCACTGGATTATCCATGCATTGGGGTAATCCCTGCAACCTATAAATAATCCCTATATAACCCGTGTATAACCCTAAACCCTAAACCCAAATCCCTAAACACTAAGCCCTAAACCCTAAACCCTAAACTGAAAAAACCCTAAACCAAAAAAAAACTAAACTAAATGAACCTAAACCCTAAACACTAAGCCCTAAACCCTAAACTAAAAAACCCTAAGCCCTAAACTATATAAACCCAAAACCCCAAACGCTAAACCCAAAACCCTAAACCCTAAACTAAAAAACCCTAAACCCGCAGCCCTAAACCCTAAACCCTAAACACTAATTCAGATCCGGACCTTTGGGAAGCCAAGCGGCTCCTTGATGTTTCCCAAGTCTTTTAGGACTGCGGTCACAGATGACATCATACCAAAACCCTGCCTTTGTTGCGGTTAAGGATCTTAAATTAAGTATATAGGGCTTAGGGTTCAGGGAACTTAAATTAAGCTATATTATCCCGCTATAACGGAAAATCAAATGGTAAAGAAAATGGAAGATGAAATGGAAACTGAAGTAATGAATGGATTTAAGGAACTTAACTTAATCTACCATGATTGGTAACTGGTACATGTAGTAAATGATAGGGTTTCCCAAAAATAGTAACGTAAACTGAGTTCCTTAGCAGCAACCCAGCTGCTGATCCTCTTGCGGGGTCACGAAGGAGAGCCTGCAGTTCAATCTGTCTGATGATCAGGAGCCATTGACAAGGGAAAACCACTGTACTACTACAATACGATGTTGCCATATGCCAAGTCTACTATATTCCTACATTACCTATAATGCTACTACTATACTACTATATTACTATATTACTATATTACTATATCAACATATTCCTTTCGTCTTACATTACTACATTACAAGCATCCTGACAGTCGCACCAGGTTGCAGGCCAAGAAACTTCGGTACAGGCCTATGATGCTCACGAAGGGTGCTCACAGCGACAGCATACCTGGAGGTTGAACAAGTGACAAATTTCCTAAGGCCTGGAGTTCAGGGTTTAGGATAGAGCCCTTATTGCGTCGGTCAGTCAGTCAGTCAGTCAGTCAGTCAGACAGTTCGTCAGTCAATTCGTCAGTCAGTCAGTCAAGCAGTCATACGCCACACGTCGCGTGGACACTCACAGCACGACTTCAATCAACCGGGTTTTGTACAAGTCCAACGATTTCTCGAATTACAGGCATAACATTGAAACGCCCTATTCCAAAATTCAGTGACCCGTTCACGTATCGGTCAACCCATCCTGTCACATAAGACCAGGAATGAACGTCGTGTAATGCATGGAATGCTCCTGTGGACATCTGAAAGCATTCGAGGACAGGAGGAGGTGACGCTGCAAAAGCAAATCGGTGATAGCACAGCATTCGACTCTATGCAGGCTTGATGTTCGGCATGCGTGAAATATTCGTGGGAAGGATGCGCAGGGTATAGTCCCCGTTACGTAGATAGAATAAGGCTCTGGGTCTATGATAACAAGATCCCAAAATACCGCATATTCTATCTACTTAAGGGGGACTATATTTCTTAAGCAGCCTTTCTCGCTCTAGGCGGCGACAATCAGCAACAGAAATACATAAGCAACTCAGCTCGTACAAGAGCTTCGACTCAAAGACGGTACCCTTAATTTTAAGAAACCCTAATCCTCATAAATTCAGTTTCCATGTTCATTTGCCATCTCCTTTTCAATTTGATAATACCTTAATACCCCCACTCCCTCTGAACCCTAAACCCTAAACTCCAAACTCTAAACCCTAAACCCCAAACCTCAAACCCTTAACCCTAAACCCCAAACCCTAAACCCTAAACCCCAAACCCTAAACCCTTTGCCCAAGTGGCTCGGTGTTTGGCCTCAGCCCCTCCAGGTGCACGGGAGGCCACGCCAGCTCCGTGCGTCGCGAAGCCTCACTGGAAATCTCCAGCAGAAGCTCCTGGCAACATTTAGTAAATGATATATGTATACATTTAGTGTAAATAATATATGTATGTGTATATATATATATATGTATATTTCTAGCGAGCACTGCGAGCTCCC